GAACGAATATATACATATATGTATATATGTATATACAAATATATACACACACACACATACATATACATGCATATATATACATATTTGATAATAAAAAATTAAATAAATAATTTATTTTAAAGTATTAAAACAAAAAAATCAAAAAACCAAACCAAATTATCAAAAATCAAACCAAAAATGTAGTTTGCACACCCTTAATTGTATGTAATAAAAGGTTAGAAGAGTCATAAGTTCCATCCATTAGTCAATAAATTAAAATAGTTAATTTATATATATATAAAAGGAAAATTTATTTTTCAATATTTAATAGTTTAAATAAATTAGAAAATAGATTATTTAAAAATTTTCAAATGATTTATAAGTTAATAAATAATTTTTTTGGTAAAATCAAATTGGAACCGAACTAAACCGCGAATGAACCGGAATCGAACCGAACTAGGAGGCGAACTGTGAACGAACCGGGAAATGAACCGTGAACCGAACTGGGAAATGAACCATTAATGAACTGTGAACAAATCGAAACTGGAACCATGAACTGGCTCTGTTCGGAACCGTGAACCAGCCCAAACGGAATCGTGACGAACTGGAACTGTGAACCAACCCGGAACCAGCATGAATCGTAACCGGAACCAGACGGCCTTCAAGATTCTAGTCCCAGTTCATATTTTTCTGGGACCGGAACCGGCAGTCTGGTTTCAGTCTCGGCTAGTTTAAAGCTCGTGAACAGGGCTACTTGTAGGTGTTATTAGAAAACACCAAGCAACTTGAGTATCACAGGGGCGTATAGGTAAGAACTTGAGCCTTTTTGGTTTTTTCTAGTAGATGAATGAGATGGATAATTTTCTTCGAATTGGTTTTTGTTTTCTATTTTATATACTCAGTGTCCATATTTTGAGTTTGCTTGTGATTTCAAAGAGACAATACTAAAAACCTATCATAAAGTCAATGTTTCATCTCTTATTTCCAATCATATGTAGTTTTTGTAAATTATAGAATCAACATTTTATTATTCTCTGCAACTAGGCCTATTTTTTTGAAATTGTTCTAGAAAGAGTTAGAGAAAAAATTGTGCCAAATAATTTTTCTATATAGGTTTTCTGCTTTCCACTTTTGAAAGCATGAATTTCTCTTTTAGTTAATTTTGACATCTTATCCGTAAGGCCTGTATTGATATGGTTTCAATGCTCAGTCCTCTTCCACTTTCTTCCAGAGCCTTTTACTGAAGTAGAACATTGTTGTGGAGGAAGAGGGCTGAGAACTTGAGCAAGCAACCGTGGCTGTACTCTGGTTCTTCGTCACGACCAAATATAAATTCTTAGTTATGGCTAATTTTAGTTATATGTAAACATTACTATTTGGTCTTTTGTAGATGCTGATGTTTTGTAAGAATTTGACTTCATCTTATGTAGACATTTGACTTGATCTTTTGTAAAAGTTTAATTTTGGTTTAAATGTACTTGATTTTATTTTTGTTATATAAAATTTGAGTAATTTAGTTAGGGATTAATTGTATTGCATCTTGATTTAAACAAGAAAATACAAAATATTAAAATAATATTGTATTGTCAGGTTGAAAATTGTGGTTAGGGAATGTCCCTAGCTAAAAAATAGTATACTCGTAGTTAAAAGGTAGCATATTTGCATGTTAGCTAGAAAAATAGTTAGGGACATAGCAATGGAATGATCCTAGTTATTTTTAGCTAAAGATTTAGCTAGAGTATTCCCTAGCTAAATTGGCTAGGGATTTAACTAGAGATATCCCTTGCTAAATTTAGCTATGACCCTCATCTCTAGCTAAATTCGTGGCTAAATTTAGCTACAGATGATGAATATCCCTAGCTTAAATTTAACTAAGCCTATTTTAGTTACGGAATTTTGTTATGAATGTTTTCTTAACTAAATTCAATTTAGTTATGGATATTTTCAATTTAGTTACAAATTTATCCCTAACTAAATGATAATTTTCTTGTAGTGTATGTTTAGGCAAGTTATGAAGAATGAGAATGGTATGGAACTTAAAAGTGAGGTTCAAAATATTTACCAAAAAAAGTTATATACCAGTTGAAAATGATGAATTTGATGTAATAAGATGGTGGAAAGAAAATTCTAACAAATATAAATTATTAAAAATGATAGCCCATAATGTTCTTGTTATTCCAATTTTTATAGTAGTCTCAGAGTCAACCTCTAGTATAATGGTGGAATAAGTGATCTTTTTAAAGTTCTCTTACTCCTACAATCGTAAAGACTCTTATTTGTGCCTATGATTGGTTGTGTGCATTCATTATTGATTTAAAGATACAGAATTCGTGGAGCTAGAAAAGTAAGAAAAAAATTGAATTAAGTACTGTCATAAATTAAATACATTTTTATATTTTTTTAATTAAATATGAACTAATTGAACTCACCAATGTTTGCATTTTTTGTTCTTTTAGATGTTTTGCTGTCCAGATTAACTGCTATGGGGACACATGACTTGTTAATTAACAGCTCCAAGAAAACACCATTTGCTTTCATGATATTTATGGGAATCAATACATTTATAAACTTCGTTAAGTCCTTCCCTTTTTTACCCACACAACACAAAATCATTAACTTATTATGCCATGAAGGCCTTATTATATGCTAGACAAAGCAAAAGATAGAAATCAAGTACACTCTTTGCTTTACTTCTCTCATGAGAGTAAAGCATAAACTAAGGAAGGGTTATCTTTTAACCACTGGTTTCATTGGTGATTAACTTCCTGTACCAGGTGATGATTTTTTAGGATAACGCTTGTAATTGTCTAGGTAGTCGACGTAACATAGGCCGAATCGAATAGAATAATTTGAATTCATTTCCATGCCATCTATAATAGACCATACGAAGTACCCTTTGACGTTAACGCCCTTGCTGCACAAATAAAGCATTGAGAAGATTTTAGGAACTATTCGTGAGAATTAAGAACTAAGTAATGAAACTTTAAATTAGACTTACTTTTAATTGATTTTTTAAATTTAAATCGTTGAGTATTGAGTTTTTTTTAATTGCATTGTTTGTTTGCACAAATAAGACATTTATTAGAGAATCCGAGTCCAGATATAGAGATGCTCTGGCCAAACCTGATGGCATTTTTGACATAGTAAAGATGCTCTTGTATGACCGGATCCGCTTATCATCTTGCAGTGCTGTCTTAATCGGGATCGAGTCATTTCTTTTATCAGGATATCCTGTTTTCAGTTTGTGGTAAGAAATGAAATAAAAGTTAAGTTGTGTTTAGAAACAACCTTTTTGTTTATCTTTAAAGAAATGGAGAAACCATAAAGGAAAAGGTTTTTTTTTTCTTTCACTCTTAAATGTGGATAGGAGAAATTATAATTTTTTAACATTGCTAAAAATGTTGACAAGTGCCAACTTTTTGAAACTTATAAATAGCAGAATTTTGTAATTAAAAATAATAATAATAAACGTTGCCAAACAAGCTTAGCTAACCGTTTTCAGTAATGAAGATCTTGGGATTTTTATATGCAAGCTTCATATGTTCCAGAACTTTCAACAATCCAGCTGGGTAAACATAAATCTGGTCGAAGCCTCCAGCCTACGAAGACATTCAAACGTCAGAAGATTATATGCTATAAACTTTATATACATTTTACTGAATTTAATTTTTCCTTTTTTTTTTTCCTTCGCAATGACAAAACATGAAAGTGAGTGTTCATTACCTGCTCACCAATAGGCACTCCATTTTTCTCAGCTGAACAGAGGAAACACGGGTATTGTGTAAGTTAAAATCTTAAATGTAAACTACAAGGTATCATATATTGATGAAATTAGGTTGTGTTTGGATGAAATTTACTAGAAAATATATTTTTGAAAGTAAAAATTTTTAGAAATAATTTTTCAGAATTTATTTATGCTAGTTACAAAATAATAAAAATTTTGATTTTTAAACAACACTTTTTTAAAAAATTGTTTGAGCATTTTAGAATATTAAAAAGTACTTTTTAATATTTTTTTATTTTAAAAAAAAACTTAACAAATGGACCATAAGATGTCAAAAACATCTCTATATATACTAAAAAATCTTAAGAGATTAAATCCATTCACTTTTTATATTTTAGTCTAGAGAGGTACAAAAGACACTTGCCAAGTTCATGTGGGTTTGTTTTTTCCTGACTTTTTTTTGTTCCCATTCTCAAATTTGATTTTCTATGTTTTACTAAAACAGAAAACACTGAATTTTTCTAAATTTTATTATTATAATATCAATTTTGTTTTATGTATCAATAGTGGTCTTGAAATGTTTAAAAAAATGGACATATTTTGTAAAAGTTTTCCCAAAAGTAAAAGAAAAACTTTTTGTTTGCAAAAATAGAAACTATTTTCAAATAAAACTATTTTTATTAGGTTCAATTGTGTGCACGTTTGGTCTACACTTACTTTGTTGTGGAAAAATGGGAGATCAAAGATTAAATTTAAAAAATGAAGTAATTAATTATTATTTTAATTAGAAAAAAAGATAAAACATGATGTATATATACTTAGTGTCGTAAGTCGCTGATCATTTGAATAGGAGGGCGAGGTAGTTTCATTGCCGGTTAGCTTTGTAGCCTCGACGTATCTGGAAGTGTAGTAGTTGACGCCCACAAAGTCATAGGACCCGTTCACCATTTTTTGTTCCTCCTTTGTAAAGTTAGAAAGCCTTTCCCCCACATTACGCTTCATGGAGGGAGGGTAGTCCCCGTGCACCAAAGGGTCCAAAAACCTTTCAAAAGAAGAAGAACACAAAAAAATAATTAATTAATTACTTAATAATTCATTAGTGATGGTCATTTCGATCTTCCTTTGTTAATTACAAAAAAAAAAAGTTTATGTAAAAATAATTATACCATGAACCTGTCTAAATTATACGGTTGAATAAAAATGTTCACAAAAATTATTTTAAATTAATCAAGTATTTCAAAAGAAAATTGTAACATCAACCAAATATGGAAATTTTAAGGGTTGAATTTATTTAGGGTTAGATAGAGGGGTTGTGGATTACATCAACCAAGAAGTCCCATGCCCTGTGCGATGCATGTATATCTGCAGTCGAATTGTCATCAAGGGGCAGAAACCACTGGGTACTTAGAGATATACCTAGTTGTCCCTTTTGGGTTGCCTGAAACCAAAGAATCAAATATACAAATGCAGTCAGATAACAAATTAATATATAATTAGGAACATCTTATAAGAAGAATTTGCTAAGTAAGTGTTTCCCAATTTTTGATGTCTTATTCATTTTATTTTCTCAAAATAGAAGACAATTTTTGACTCTTTTAAAATTAGAAATAATTAGTTTATCATTTTTTTTATTTGACTTCTATACACACAAATCAATAATCAGAAGTTCAAATATTTACATGTTTGGCTTTGTTTTTTAAAATAAAAAACCCATTTGATAGGTTGGTTTCAAAAACTATTTTTAAAATTTTTACTTGAAAATAAAAATTTTATAGAAATAGTAGAAATTTAAAAAATTTCTATGTTTATTGGTTTTTAATAGACAAAAGGATGACCCTAATAAGAAGAGAAGTTCATATGAATTTTTATAAATAATTTTTATATTCATATGAACTTCTTTTTAAAAAAAAAATCTAAATGAGGATTAACTCTAACAAATTTTTTCAATTTATAGCTTTAATATACATATATTCAAACCTGGTAAGTTTCTCTGTAGACTTTAACAGCACTAGCATGAGCTAGAATCAAGTGATGGGCAACTATGTAGGGGAATGTTGCTGCATCAACTGAGATTGACAAGTTCATCATGTACCCATATGCCGCAAAAACTTCAGGCTCATTCAGAGTTATCCAGTGCTGCACCCTATCTCCAAATGTCTTGAAGCACAGATCAGCGTAGGCTGTGTAGTCCTCCTAATCAATTCATTTACATTTCAATTAATTAGACAAAAAATAATTATATATTTTAAGCTTGTTGAAAAAATAATGAAAATAAATGAAAACTTCTTACACAAAACTTGAATTCAGCATGCCATTATATGCTGTTTGCAACGCCACGGGAAGGTCGAAGTGGAACAATGTTACATATGGCTTGATCCCTGCCAACCCAAAATATGAATTATCTTACCATATTAGTTCATAATTAATGCAACACAGATCACAATTAAAATAACCTAATTTTTATTTTTAAAAATAAATTGAATTGGAAAATATTTTAAAAACTGATTTATTAAATACAAACCCAAATTTTATACCAACTGAATTAATATAAAAAAAAAAATAGAACTTGTAAACTACCGTTAGCAACCAGCTCGTTGATCAAATTGTTGTAGAAATCGATCCCCCGCCTGGTTGACACCACCACTCAATGTTCCGTCTACAAAGCAGAAATATAAAAGACTCTATTAGTCAAATTGTAAATATTTTTTCAATTTACCCTTTTTTATCCAAACAATTTACCATTAAGAACAAACAATATTCGTTCAATTCTTTTATCCATTTGAAGCAATGGTAAAAAAGCTGGAAACTGTTAGTGATGGTTATGGCATATCTGCTCACCCGCGTCGCACTATGTACATGATTTATTTACTTTCAAAACTAAATTGAGTT